CGTTAAACTCTCACGACCAACGCCATACTCGTATAAACCAACGTTACTAAAACTGGTGTCGCAGCTAGAGTAGGATTTTGTGCAACAGTCAACCAGAGAAAGGTGCTTTTTATTGGTTTTCTGTTGTGTTAAACAGAAGAAGACAGGTGAGCTCTGCTGTGGTGTGATAAGAGCCTCAGGACAACAGGTTTCTTAACACATTGTTAAAGGTGGATAAAGGAGCGCTGTTGCACCTCCTGTGACGCTGAGGAGACAGCAGCCATCATCATGGCTTTGTCATGTTGCCTTGTCTTTTGTATTTTATTTGTCCCTGTTCCTGGCTTCAAAGTGTGAGATCGCTCTGATTTAAATACTTCAGATTGTCTGTATTTGCGCAGTGGATTGTCCATCTTCTCTATTGTTTTCTACCTGTCTCTTAATGATCAAACTATTCTTGACTATCTATCTCCATAGTTTGTTGCCTTGGTGCCAAGTGAAGGTGCTATTGAGGGTACACAGAAGTCACACTATAATGAACAGTGACAGGATGTCATCCCCTCAGCCTGGAGCTGCCACCCCTACACCCACCTGCACCCGTCCAGCTGAGCCTGCCGTGTCTGTGACGTCACAGCCAATTGATGGTGTTGCAACAAGCAGGCAACATTACCCCCTTCCCAGCATTTGCATGATATGAGGGATTTGTCTTCTCTTTTCTACCATAGTTGGACCATCGTTTGGTATTTTCCACATCCAGTTTCTCATCCCTCTGAAACCTCTGATCTCTTTGGAAATCCAGAGAGGGCTGCCCTCTCTAAGTGGCCTTTGGCTGTGTTTGATCACTGGTTGAGTTATAGATGTCTCCATGAGCCATAACTCAGAAGCCAGACTCAGATGTCAACATAACATATGTTGTTTTTCCGCCGTCCTACCACACGTTCTGTGTGAATAGAGTACACGGAGATGTAGGAAATAGTAAGATTGTTTTGGGATGCCTGATGCTCTCTCACAGAAGTTCCCAATTGTTTTTTACTAAAGATATCCGAAACAATAACCAAAGGTAAACAAAAACAGTTTTTTCTCTCCTCTGAATTTGTTTTAAAGGATTATTTAGGTCTGAAGAGATTAAAGTTTTCAGTATTTTACAAAAACTGAAATATTTACCAAAGAATAATTTCAAATGTGTTAAAACTGAATGTTTCACTTATTTGTCCTAGACTCAGGGTTGGTTCTTCAATCTTTATGTTGGTGAGAAATGGGATTCTCTGTTCTTCTTTTTATTACATTTTCAAGCTGGCTCACCTTTACAGACTTTATTTTATTACGCCTGTACTGTAGAGCCAGCTAGGAGGAGACTGAACAGTGGGAGTTCAAGCTAGGTTCACATATAGGCTAACCTTTTCCAAATGAGTGCGAGGAATGCTCCTTATTAACCAAACATCACCTTGTCAGACCCTGTTCAGAGCGCCTCCCTGTGCCACACATGAGATGAATATCTCAAATCTGCTTTCTTTAGTTAAAGACACAAAGTAAGCTTTTTGCCAGACTCCTGCGCATCTAATACGCTCTCTTGCTATCGTGATAAAATAATTTCCATAAGGAAGTGATTACACATTTTAATAATTCTGAGCAGATGTGAAAATGTCTCAACAAGTTAACAAGGCTGTGGTGGAAATGCAGATCTTGCCACTGTTGAGGCAGTGTGCCACGGCATCATGAAACCCACGAGCCTGGCAGGAAAGGTGAACAGACGGAGGATGATGGAAAACGGTTTATCACAGTGACCCCTGTTATGTTGCACACAGGCAGACTTCTCCCGCTATACTTTATTATTCAATAGCCATCAGGGGAGTGTGAGTGCAGATGTTAGATTATTTTAAAAAGAAAATGAACTTGCCTTCAGCAAGAATATGCCCACAAAATGGGAAAGAGCTTCAGGAAACTATTGAAATAGATTTTCTTTCATTCTTATAGATCAGGCTAGCAGAGACCATAAGATTGCGGCAGACAGACTATTTGTCTACTTGTTTAGTGTGTTTTGGTAAATTGTGTCTTACACTTGCTTTAACATTGTTTTTTTATCTCTACTGTTGTGTATGTTTCATGGTGTATCCTCTTCACTTTGAACAGGATCAGAATTCCAGAAAATAGTGTTATTCATTTTATTATAGTATACAAACATAGCAGAACAAAGGTCTATCAGCTTGGTGAGACACCTTTCAGAAAGTGATTGTTACATCTGCTGAATAAAGGAACATAATAATCTTATATACTGCACACCATGCAAGACAAAAAGTGTTGTTTGCATTTAACTCTCCCCTTCACGTACTGGGAGATAAAAGCACCATCTTTAAATACAGTAAAAAATCATCTTTATATAAACGTAATGCCTGTGCTTCTCGCCTTTGTTCAGCTCAGACGAAGATAAAGCCTAAATTGGCGATGCATCTCATCAAAGGTGTTTTCTCTTTGTGCTCCTCAATGTGAATAGCTTAATGTTGTGTATAGAAAAAATACATGTAGATGGGAGAGGGGGGGGAAGTGTTCACCTACAAGCAAAAAAGAAACTTTGGTAATTGCCATAACACAAATAATGAGAGGCTATGTAGGAAAGTGTTTGAAGAGCGGTCCTGATCAAGATAAGATTGGAGACAGTATCATGAGAGAGGAAGTGTTTTTCTGTCTGCTGCAGCTGAAAGGAAACTTAAGTGACAGAGTTACTTATGAGCCAGACGCTGAGCAAACCCTGCAGAAATAACCAGGCTAAATGGAGTTTAGGGTGTGACCAGAGAGTCGAATTCAGTTGCCTCTTGTGGTCATATAATTCAGAAACATAATGCATTGCACAAATATTTTGACTACAGATCTGTTTTGTTTTTTTAAATGTATTAAAGAGTAAATCAATAGTCGCCCACTAGTGGACAAGGTGCCACAACCATATTCATTAATAAATTAATACTCCAAAAATTTGTTTTTGGTTTTGTAGACTAAACATGTTCCGGTCGCTTATAAAACTGTGATGTTACATAAAGAACCATTTATCAACAAAATAAAGAGAACCCTACACATAAGTGTGTTTCTCTGCAATAAAGTCTTGTTTTGTTGAGCTTTCATTTCTTTTTCGGTTACTGTTTTAATTAGAGCTCTAAAGTTGTTTCTTTTAGTCTTTATGTTGGTTGTTGAGGTGTTTGTGTTGTGCACCTCCTGCGTAACTGTGTGAAAAAGTGCAAATGGAATCCTGGAAACATTAACTTTTTCTTCTTCTTACCTTTTAGAATAAATATTGCAACAGCATACACTGTAAATCAAAATGATTGAAATACCTAATATCCGGCAAAAGAAAAGAGTGTACAGGATGGTTTACATAATGACCTGTCTGAAAATATTACAAACTGAACATCATCACATTACATTTCCTTATGTCAATGATGCACCTTTTCTCTGCAAAGTGCAAACTCCACTTTTTGGATGTGTGTAATCATCTACAGCTGCATCAAATGAATAACGGCTTATATAGTTTGGATAACAGAGGCCAGACCTAAAGGTGGTGAACCAATGTTTTTTTTCCCAGGGTGTATAAGCTTTATTTATGTGTGCAGACAAAAAAAAACATAACTGTTAGCTTTAGGGGAAAAGAGGGAAAATATTTGAAAAATAACTTGCTTTCCATAAGAGAAATGTGCTATTGTTTGGATCTCACATGATTGATGCCTGACTTAATCCAGTGCTCTTTGCGCCATCCCAGGAGGGTGAGCGGTCTCTTTGTGCCTCTCTGTCCCATGTGAAGCAAACCAAAGCGGGAGAGTGAGGGTCATAGCTATTCGGCAGGGTACCAGATCCTTCCCACCGGCACATCTGCATGTGAAATCGCCATTTCACCCCTCCACACTCCCTAATTGTTGCTAAAATTATTTGTGAAATTGCCTTCCACCAGGAGTGTTTTCCACGGCAATTGTCACACAATTTTATATGCACGGTGGGCCCACATAGTTGACACATGCACCTCTTCTTTTCTGCCATATGTGCTCTTTTTATTCGAGTTTAATAGCGCGTTATTATTATTTTTTCAAAACAATTACCTTTAAGCAATTACTCTTGTGCTTACGCAAGGGCAAGTCAACCTGTTGTCGTCAATAGCGGGTCGATCCTAATGTTGTCATTACCACAAAAGCTATAGGAGCGATTTAGATGTTCATGCTGCGCACATTTACTTAATTGAAAGGTTAACAAGCCAAACGCATCTTATAGTAGCCTTCGCCGGGCAGGGCTGCTATTGCGCGCTAGTCTATTGTCAATTTAGAAATCACACCACCAACTCCTGACTCAATTATTTAGGGCCGTTTTTTTATTTTTTTTTATTCACACCAAGCTTTAATTATGTTCCGGCGCATGTATAGAAGAATGCATGAAGGCGTTACACTCGAATAGTTTCATCTTAAGATGTTGGTCATTTATTTCAGTTTTTTTAATATGGTATATGGGAATTTAATTCAGTATATCCATAGTATATGAACAATAAACCTTTTTTTTTTTTAAACATTTACGAATTTTTTTCAGCTTTTTATTTTTATTTCTAGAAGCAGTTTTTAGGGTATAATATATTTTTTGTTCTCAATTTCATGAGTTTCTTGTCAAAGAATGAGAAAGAAAGAAAGAAAGAAAAAAGAGAAAGAAAGAAAATGGAAATAGCATTTAAAAAGCATTAATATTCCACAGGTTTAAACAGCTGAATGTCAGGGAAGCTGGCTCATTTTGAAAAGATGGGCTTTAGAATAACATTTAGACATAATAACATTTTGAACTGCTTTTTGGTGTATGGAGTCTGATGAGGGAGGCAGCAGTGAATTAAAAGTGGAAAGTGTTGCTGTGATTGGTCGGCCGGCTCCTGGCTAAACCCACTTTCTTTCATCCATAAAAGAAAGGCCAGTGAGCCTATGGGAGCGCTCGGTTGTCTCCTCCTACGACATGCACGAAAGTTGGCCACTTAAACTACTTCCAACCAGCCAGCAGACATAATACTGAACCCAAACTACAACCAGGAAACGAATAACACAGCATTTCTGTCCAACTCAGACACACAACTCCAATTACTCTACTTTGCAGACTTCCCTGTTTGAAGGGATTTTATTTTATTTATAGCAATTGTTATCATTTGTGTTATATTTTGGCACGTCCATCGCACCAGAGGACAGCATCACTTATTTTTCCCCGGTGGAAGAAGGTCCAGTTTCTCCGCCTGGGATTGGGATTTCACAGCACACTGAGCATCATTTTGAGTATTTTGAACACATTCCGTTTTTGAGTTGGACTGGAGTCCGTTTGTTGTTCGTCCGGGTGGCAATGATGGCTACACTACCAGGAACGATGCCTCGGATGATGCGCCCTGCGCCGGGCCAGAACTACCCCCGAACCGGCTTCCCCCTGGAAGGTAAGAGACATGAAAACGTGTGTGTGATGTTTGAACTTGTGCTGTGACAAAACGCATCAGTCAGCGTGATAGTCAAACAGCCCTAGTTCGTTACCGGCGACACGCTGTGAAAATAAAAAGGTGGATGAACAGATACGACCTCCAGTCAGTGATGATTCAAGTGTACAACCTGAAACCAAAGTGAATAATAAATAGCAACTCGTTCTTTAAGAAATCAACCCACAGCATCTTATTTTCGTGTGTTTTGATTAAGCCTGATTGTATTCTATTGATGTGTGTCTGCTTTTATTTATAACTCGTTTAATTTGACAGTAAGTAATTGCTTGTTGTACAGCTTCTACCTGAAATATTTGTAATACTTACTCTTATTTTTGTTTTATTTTTTGAAGCTTTCATTTTTAAATTATTCGGAAATGTTACTTATAATAAATATAGGCCTATACAATGTTGCATGTTAAAATCATTTGTTATATTCAAATTTAAAGCCACCCAGACACTTATTTATTTTATACAATAATATTTTAGATAACAGAATAAACAGATGTTCCCTTTTTTGTATTTGTTCATTTTAACACTTTAACAATTTGATTACTCTAGCTTCGATTGTTACACACACACAAAAAGCAATCTAATTGGTAATTTATTAAGTTGATGCACACACTCAAGCAGTCTGAACATATGGGCGGAAAAAAGACCACTTTGTATTTGAACGCATTTATGGAAACAGTTTTCCCATTACACCCAGTTCGTGCTCAAGTGCTCTGGTCTGAAATGTACAAAAAACACGTAGCTCGCAAGTTACTCGAGCTGCGGGATTTGTTCAAGTGTCCTGCTGCTGGAAATGGCAATAATACACACAGCTAAGATATGACTCAAAGGATCACATCAATATTTGTACAGCATGACTAGGAATAATCAAGGTGGGAAGTGTCACCCTCTTTAGTGTCTCTTGAATGTGAAATTGGATCCTGAAGTGGCCTCGGATACATGCTGTGAGCCAGACTGACGCTGGATGAATTTGGCACGACGCTCTCTTGAAAATGTATAATATGATAATGTGCGTTAACTGCGTCCCATTTAAAAGTCAGCAGCACAGAAAACACGTCACTATTTGCCTCTAATATACGCTGAATTAGCTTCATCTAGCTTGCATTGAAGTGCACATTGTTAAAGAGACTTTTTATTGTTTATTGTGGTGCAGTATCCACCCCCCTGGGCCAGGGTAGGGTGAACCAGCTTGGCGGTGTGTTCATCAACGGGAGGCCCCTGCCAAATCACATCCGACACAAGATAGTGGAGATGGCCCACCACGGCATCCGACCCTGCGTGATCTCGCGACAACTGCGAGTTTCTCACGGTTGTGTCTCCAAGATCCTCTGCCGATACCAAGAGACCGGCTCCATCCGCCCGGGAGCCATAGGAGGCAGCAAGCCCAGGGTGAGTGGTCCATGGACGGGTCTGGGGGTCACTGCAGCGACACCTGAGTAAAACGGCATGATGTTATTACAGTTGTTTGATACAGTTGTATCAGTTGTTTTACTTCCTCTGTTTTATTAATATCAATAGTATTATTAATAATTATAAAATATTAATAATGTGCCTTATTTAACCAGGGACATGTGTCAAGTAAATTGCAAACTACATTTATATTAGAGCCCACCTGTAGGCTAACATCCTTTATACAGTCTTTAAAGTTCAACTGAAGCTGATATTTTCTTCTTCCAAAATTATTGAAATGTTCTTTAAACAATAAGCTTAGTCAGAAACATATATAATATAGTATAAATGTGATATGTGTTTAACAATCTGCCTTCATACATTATTTGTATTAAATGCAGTACAACAAAATGGGCACATGTGTTCCATTAAAGGGTTTTTATTATGACAAATGTTTTTTCTATAATGACAAATGTTTTTTTTTACTGGTGTGGATGTTTTAGATTAAGCCACTAAGACATATTAAAGGTTGAAATGTGTTATTGTCCCAGGCATATTATAGGCTACTCACATTTAAAAAAACAATATACATCATTGTTTCTTATTTTTGCAATTTGTGCTTCAATATTGAGGATCATCATTTTCTTCATCTTTAAAATGTCTCTAAATTTAAACGGAATTTTCTTTTTTCCTTCCCTTTATTGCCCTCCATTTAAACATTTACAACCTAAAGCAGGTGGCAACTCCTGACGTGGAGAAGCGGATCGAAGAGTACAAGAGAGAGAACCCCGGCATGTTCAGCTGGGAGATCCGGGATAAGCTGCTGAAGGACGGGGTGTGCGACAGAAGCACAGTTCCTTCAGGTGAGGCTTCATCTGGTAAGCTGCACTTTTTTTTTCTTATTACTAGCGAACACTGCAGCATCACTTCTGAACATCACTTTGAATCCATCATGTTTTTAGCCCCAGTTACTGGTAATAACACTTTTCAGTGTAGCAGGAAGCACACTTACAACTGTGTGACCCAGAAAAAAACCCCCCTGTTGGGAAAATGTGCCTTTAGTGCTCAATTGATAATTTTCATTATTGCATAACGTGTAATTTTTCCATTAGTACACACTTTTATTTATTTTTCGAACGCAGCTGCTTCATGTGAAACTTTTTTTACTGTGCTTTTTTTTATGGTATCCTAAAAAATGTATTATAGGATTACTTTGGTTCCTTTATGGGTTTTAGAGCTAATCACCCATTTACCTTTTTGTTGCCATTAGTGAGCTCCATCAGCCGCGTTTTGAGGGCCCGATTTGGCAAAAAAGATGGAGAGGAAGACTGTGATAAGAAGGATGAAGATGGAGAAAAGAAAACAAAGCATAGCATCGATGGCATCCTCGGTGATAAATGTAAGTTAACAGCAGAAAGTTTATGGCCCTTTTGCATATGTCTGAAATATCGAATTATTATTATTATGTAGGGAATATTCCAGCCTTGTAAGCAGGAAACAAATGTTTTAAATGGACTTCCTACTTTACGTCCTCTTGGGAAATTGCTAATAGCAGAGAATTTATTCCTGCTTTTAACTACGAGCCAGCAGTTGTTCATTCACTCAATTATTTATGAGAGCCTTGGCAGAAGGTATTTAACTACAGAAAATTAATTTGTGTAGCGAATTCCTCCTCATTCATTCACTCATTTAACGACCTCTAAACGACAGCTGACAGCTGACCCATTTCACAATCGATGTCAGTTCACTGACATTTCACCACTTGTCAGTTAAAGTGGAAATCAATGTTCATATTATTATTTGCTCTATTAGTAATGCTGCGTGGAGGGGACAATAAAGCTTTTACGCAGGTACTGACTGTCAGTGTTTGTCAATAGTATTTACAAGCTTATAATAAGCTTAAATGTATTAATATCTCCCGTGGTGAATGAAATATTTGCAGTATATTTTACATGTAAAAAATATATAAATAAATCGCAAAAATGGGGACGTTAAAAAAAAAACAGAATTTGAAGAATTAGCGAGGGTTTTATTTAAGTTATTAAATACGAGTAGACTTTTTTGACATTTTACAAGAAAAACCTCTGCATTTATTGTCAAATGTTATGTCACATTATGTTTAGTGCTTCGTTTTTTTTTCTTGCTATGAAGTGAAAAATTCTTCCATCCAAACGATATAAAGGTTGCCTCTTTTGATGATCAAACATGAGTGAATGGGGTCTAGATAAATGTTTACAAAAGCCTCAATTTTTACCCTTAAAGACACTGCCAAAACATTTTCAAACTTGAAGATGAACTTCACGAGCAAACCTCCCCTCCATTGATGCTTTTCTAAAGTGAGGAGTCCGAGGTACAAAAAAGCAAATCCTGGAAAGCAGGGCAGCGAAAAGGAGAGTAGCTATGGACCCGTCCATTCTCATTCAAAAATCGGGTAAAAGGGAGAAGACTTTGGACAAAGGGCAAGGAGAGACATAAAAGGAGATGAATTATTCAGTACGCCCCGCTGGTAGATAGTTTTGTAATTTTGTATAATGGCCCGTTGGAGAAGAATCAGTTGATAGCGTGAAAACGGTCTCTTTTTTTGTGACACCACGCGTTAATGTTATGAGAAAAATGTCAACGTTTTGTTTCAAATACCTCAACTGTATACGTAGATGGTTTGTAACTCCTGCATGCTGGCTATAAGTGACGAACATTTTTGGGAGAGTCTGCTGTTACGCACAGCTCACACGCGTAAAACTGAGGACATGTTTTCTGAGTAACGTGATAGTTTGACTTGTAAAGTGTTAACTTAATTATTATTGACTGTTTGTTGTTAGTGCCAAATATCAACCTAATGTTCATGCTTCTATTCTGTCTTAGCTCAGCTTGTGTTTTAAATTGGGACTCAATTACGTTGCTATAAAAAGAGACGCACCCTCTGCGTAAAGCAGTTTAGACTACCGGCATCCGGATGGCATTTAATAATGTTAATACTTATTAGAGTAAGCACTGGAAACGATGGTTGCTGAATAGGTGGCTGTGTTCGTGCCGGGTGTAATAGCTCGCAGGCATGGTAAGAAATGTATTTATCCCCAATCAGCCCCTCACTCTCCGAGTTTGAAGCACAGCCCTTATGTGGAGAGGGGTTTTAAAGCAGATTAAATAGAGCCTTTTATTTCTTTTCACTTTCATCTCAGAGCGGAGCTCACAGTGGCTCGCCCAGGGCACAAAATTCATGAGATTTTTTTTTGGTTTACTTATCCAGATTTTAAGACTTTATTTATTTATCTATTTGTTTATTAGCCCTGTGTATTGGATTTTCTCAGAGGTTACATCACGGATTTATCCCAGCTCTAATCTAGCTTTATTAAACATGTATTCAAACTGCTAAACACATTACAATATTGTAAATGTTGTTTTGTGGCTTAGTCAACTGTTATTTATCAGAAGGATGTAGAAGAAGCTGAACCAACCGAACAGTCACTAAAAATAGTTTTCACGCTGCTTTATTGGCCCTTTTTATTCTGAAAGTCGTTAATCTTATGTTGATCATCGAGTGAAGATCTTGGTCCACAAATGTTCTGTTGTGCAAAAATAAATTGGTGCGCACTTAAATGGTCATGTACGGCTGTTAAAAAATATGTGTGTTTAATTACGCGCAAGAAAATTGAGCAAGGTTGCATTGCATGTGCAAACTTGGACATCCTTTTGTTTAATGCCACACCGCTCTGAAAGAAAAGGTGTAGCAGCTGTCCGGCGTCCATCTGCCTCTCTGACGCAACCAACCTGACCGTCAGCCGAGGTGGAGACAGGCGATGGACACTTCAGCAAATCGCAGGATTACCTGAGGTCCTCAATCTAATTAAACAGATGTCAACTGGGATTATTTCCGAGCATCAGGGAGGGAAAGTGACAGAGCAGCGGAGAGGTGTGAGGAAGTGTGACAGACCAAAGAGGTTAGGACTGCTAAAAAGAGGCTTTTATATTCAGAGAAACAGTATTTGTTTTTGGAATGGGTGTTATGCGTATTTCCTCCCACAGCTTAAAAAATATATATTATTGAGAATATAATTATCTAGACTTCTTTTCTTTCCGTTTGAGCATGTGCTGTCATTTATCAGTATGTTTGTAAAATTACGTCAAAAAATTCTTTTAAAACGGTGTATATTTTTTTATTCCGGTTTATCCTCCGCTCACAGGTCAATTTATGGTTTCTTTTAAAACACAAAAAGTAATACATTTCTGCTGTTATTATCAACTCGGCCTATAGTGATGTGTGAAAAGCTGCCCCTTCCCCACGTCACAAACACGCACGCACTAACACACACTTTCGCACACGCACACCCAGTCTCTAAGTGTATGGTAATATAATGTAGCTATATTTCGGGTCTAAAGCCGTGCTGAATGAGAAGGACAGGGGAATGAAGCGAGAGACCACTTCAAACAAATCCATCTGGAACAGTGTGTGAGAGAGATTCAGTGAAAGTATGGGGAAGTTATTTAGCTATTAATAACGTTTTTTCCTCAGGCATTGAGAGTGACTCCATCTGCACTTTCTCGCAGCTATTTGGCTGGGTGGAAATTGAGGGAGACCCAAATGTTGGGCAGAGATAACATACCCATCATAGCCCAGACCCTGCGCTGTGCTTCACTGCATTAAACTCGGATTAACCTCCCCTGTCCCCGCAGCCACTCAAGCCACATTTCACTGGAATTTACATCGGTAGGCCTACATTTATTCTTATAGAGGGGGCAGGAGCTGAAAGACGCAACATCATCATCATCCATAATAATAATAATAATAATAATAACAATAATAACATTAATAATCTTAGGGCTATTTGTATTTACAGTAAATCAATACAATTAATGAGGGCAGAAAAATGTAGTACCTATTATTAAATATTGAGTAAAACATTAACATTTTAGAAATGTAACGGCATTCATCTGGTTTGCTTTAACAACACCTGCGTTATGTGTATATATAATAACTACAATGTTCACATTGCATAAAGATATTTCTATAGATTTGCTCACTTTCGTTATAAAGACTGCTACATCTTTGGTTGACCATCTCTGAATCTCAAGGATATTTTTCTGTTTTGTTTTCATCGTTCAGATGGTGTAGCATAAATTATTACTTGTCATCTATATGTGTATGATTGTAACAAACCAGCAGAAATGGCTGCTCAATATCACCCTCAATATTAGCAAAACATTACGATTATTGAGCGAATTTTAAATTGCACCAGAACGAAATTGTGTCATTTTTATTTTGCATGTCGTTTTTTTAAATGCAAAACGGTGGTGTAATTTGTCGCTAATGACATATTGCGATGTTCTTATGGTGAAGAGTTACTACTAGTGTAACAAATTAGCCTATTGGTTCCAGCAAGGTAACATGGGCAAACCGTGCAACATAATAACATGAAACCCATTGCTTATGAGTAATGAGTAATGCATCAATTTAAAGAAGTGCAGTTTAAGCTTGTAGGCCTACCATATACTGTGTAGAGACGTTTCAGTGTCTGGAGCTTGAAGTGTCGGCAGCATTAAGCAAAAGAAAAAAAATGGAGTAGGCTTAAATTCATTCTGTGCTGGCATTTGACTTTGATCACATCAGAAATATTCATGGACGCACAAACAGTGGCTCTGCCACCATTATCCCGGCTGACAGTGATACCTCTCAAGGCTGTCTATTAATTAAAGTGGCGCTTACCATGTGGGACGACTCCCTATCTGGGCACAAAAATGATTTTTCCATCTCTTGTGGGGCTCTTGAAAAGGGGCAATCTTTCCTCTCCAGATTCTTGTGGGAAATGTAAAAGTGTACAGAGGAAGACATGGGGATTTCTAGCTCATTTATAAAGACGAGTTTATAATCCTTTCCTGCTTAATAACTTAAAAGGATTCAATTTCTCCCCTCATTTATGGGGTTATGATCACACATTGTTAAGCGCAGATAGTAGCATTTCAAGGTTAACATTTCCTGCTCGAAAATATCAGAATAAGCTGTAAACCCATAGGTGCCCTTTGTTTAGCCTGCTATTTCCCCCTCAAATGCTGATAGGCCTTTTTTAGATGTTGTTACTATTAATGTGATAACAAGGATGAAGCCGATGTAGACCACGTTGATAAGATGCCTCTATGCCACCGAACATTTTTAAATGATACGACATTTAATTATAGCATATAATTTCACCATCGAGCATTAAACTCATAGGCTTACGCAGACTCTGAGGATTGAATGTCTGGTTGGGGGTCTCAAACCATATGAGACACATTTAAAGAGGAAGCGTTGCCCTCCAGGTATCCTGTCGCAGCAGTAGGGTGCTTCAGCGCGTCTCTCATTTCGGTCTGTGTTTTATTTCGCCAATTCTCACTATGGGGCTCCGGGATCCTGCCTGCAGGGCGGTA